CTACGCCGCCATCTTCTGGGTAAAGTCCTAGCCAATTTTTAAAAACATTCTGTCACAATCAGGCTACTTCATGGAAGTATATGTGTACATATGAAACTGTTCATTTTGTGTATTTTAGTTGAAAAGAAGTTGAACACCACTGTTTTAGAAATGTAGAGGTCCACTTATTCCTTCCAGTCTTGAGGAAGTTGAAAAGTGTAGCTGATATATCTCAAAGTTTGGGCATGATGCTGATGCAATCATGTCAGAAGTTAAAAGAAACAAAACATGAACCATCACATATTTCCTGAGTACAACAATGTGCTTAAGCCAGATTGGACCAGAACTTAAGAGGGTGATTAAATTTTCAGGAATTTCATGAGCTGGTTGTTAAATACAACCATTATGAAAAATTAAGTTTTATAACCGTATAATCATATAAATCATGTCAAAAACAAATGTAACAAATACTAAAAACTCTTTGAATCATAATTTTGTAGTTCATTTTTATCTTAATGATGCTCTTGAGATTATTTCTCTTACACTGTATGTTGTAAATTCAAGTTTCTACAATCATGAAAATGTTCTTTAATACATTAGCCAACTAGCCACATGTATTTATTGAACACTTGAAATATGGCTACTGTTACTGAGGAACTGAATTCTAAATTTTATTTAATTATGATGAATTTAATATAAATTTGAATAGTCACTTGTGGCTACTAGCTACCATATTGGACAGTTCTATCTCACAAAGTTTGAACACTAGGTGAATTAGGAAATAACGTTTGCTAAGTGGCCAGGCACTTTTCTAAAGTGCTTTACCTGAATTAACTCACTTAATCCTCATAGTAGCCCTCCAAGATAGATATTTCTAACCTCACTTTACATTTTGAGGAGACAGGCATAAGTATGTTAAGTGACTTGTTCAATACCATACACCATGAGAATGATGGAAATCAAGACTCAACCCCAAGCAGTCTAATTTTAAGGTCAGACCTCTTAAAACATACTACTATTATTTGTGATAAAATTCACAAAATTTCATTCAAATATCCACTTCAATAGAAAACTATCAAGTTTTCAATACAACCTGCTACAAAACCAAGGGAGAAAATCAGTGCAATAAACAATTATAATAAAAAAAAGCAGAAAAAAGAATAATATTAATTCATAAATTAGTGTATTGAGCAAGGTAGGATATTGAGTATGTATTAACTAGTTCATAAGCTGCAGAGCCTGGGGTGCCTAGTTCAGAGGCTAATGATTCGCATTCTTGTACATGTCTTTGGTGTTCTATGTATTGAGGAATATGGTTGCTTTCATTTTTTCAAACCCCCTAAGAGCTTCCAACTCTTTGTTGGGTACTGGCACAGTTTCAATAGATACATTTATTTGGTTTAAACACTTAAAGGTTAATTGAAAAATGATTAAAATGTCCTTAGGTGAAATTTGATATGTATTGTATATTATTGGATAATTACTACTTTATTTGCATACCATTGGGTAAAACTTGTGTTGCATATATTCAGTGTCTCAAAACTAAACTATCTCTTGCTTCTGGGTGAGACAAGAAAGACATTTCAAAAATTCTATTCTGTTTATCACAGCTGAACTTCAAATTATAAACTTTTTGGCCTAGGTAATCACATTAGACTATATTCTGTTTAAGATATCAGCAATAAATGATTCTTTTAAAAAAAAATCATGTTTTCTGCTTCTAAACTTTGTTAGCATGCAATGTTAGCTTATAAATGCTAGTAAATTTTGTTATTTTTAAAAGTTTTTTATTTTAATTTCAGTTATTTAACATACACGTTCTGAAGTTGTTATCAGGTACCTATGGATTTAGTATTGAAAACTCTGGCTGGCCGATTGACTTTTTATTATTATTTAACTTTAGTAATGCATTTTGCCTTAAAGTCTAATATGTCAGATAATGATATACCTATACCAGCTTTCTTTTGGTTAGTGTTTGCATAGAATAACTTTTTTCATCTTCTATACCTTTTTGTGTCTTTGTGCTTATGATGTATATCTATATCTATATCTATATCTATATCTATATCTATATCTATATACATATAACCTTAATATTTTAATTATAATTTTGACCCATTTACATTTAATGTAATTATTCATATGTATGTATTTATATTCACTTTCTTACTACTTGTTTTCTGCTTTCTCCTCTCCCACTCTGCCCTTCTATTACATGAATTTTCTCTCATTTATTTCTTTTGTATTAATAACATATTTTTAAAATTCTACTTTCCCCTCAACAATTTAGCTATTAGTAATAGTATTCTTTTAGTAGTTACTATAGTTGTACAATATGCATCCTTAATCAATTGCAGCCTAATAAATGTTGATATTTTTACTACTTCCTACACACTAGTGTACTTTCATTCAATCTCTCATACTTTCATCATGTATTTCAGTTTTCAATTATCATAAACCCCATGTGACTTTATTACTTTAAACAGTCAATGTCATTTACATTTACCCACATATTTATAATTTTCAGTGCCCTTTATGCCTTCCTGAATTTCAGAGTTTCCATCTGTGATATGCTTTCTTTCTGAAGAACTTCATCTAATATTCTTCAGCAAATCTTTTATTGTTGCCAATAAATATTCCCTGCAAGTTTCTTTGTTACTTTCACATTTGAAGGATATTTTCCTTCTGAATAGAATTCCTGGTAGAAGATATTTTCTTTCACTGTTCAAAAAATACCATTTTATTGTCTTCTGACTTCCATCAATTCTTTTGAGAGAAAAATTTTCAGCCCTTTTTGTTGCTTGTTGACAGTACGGTGTCTTTGTTTTTTTGTTGCTTTCAATGCTTTGTTTTTCTCACCTTGGTCCACAGCAATTTTACTGTGACCTGCATGAGTTTCCTTATTTCTACCTTTTTAAAGGTTTTAGAACTTATTGCTTTCACGTCTTTCATTATTTTGGGGAAGTTCTTGGTCTATTTCTCTTGAAATATTACTACTGTCTCATTTTTTGTCCTCTCCCAATTATGTGTATGTCCTCTGATCCCAATTATGTGTATATTAGCTCTGTATATGTTGTCCTTTTTCTTTCATGTTTGGTTTTTGTTGTTGTTATAGTTTTCCTTCTGTATTTTCCTTCCTATTTTTCCATGCTTTGGTGTAGATAGTTATTACAGTCCCATCTTTAGTCCTCTTGCCCTTTTTGCTCACCTGTTCAATCTGCTGTCAAATACATGTGTTTAGTTTGTTTTGTTTTTTTAATGTTCACTTTTTTTCTTCTCATATTTCTTTGTTTTTTTAACTCCAGTTTCCTGGTAAAGTTCACATTCTTATTATGTATTTTTTAACATATTAATTCTGGTTATTCTAAAATCTGTGATAACTACGCTTACCTGGATTTTATATGCATCTCTATTTTCTTATTTCTAGGCAGTTTTTAGTTATTAGTTGTTGACAAGCCTAGCCTATTTTTACCAAAACGAGGTAGTGTGTATGAAAATTTGTAAATGCTGTGATTGACTTATTACCCTCCACAGAAGGTCTATCCTATCATTTAGTGAACAAATACAGTGAGGACTAATCACCCTCATTCACAAGAGCTGAGTTGATTCAGGCTGCTTGTCTATGTCTGGTTTGTGCCACTTGTAGAGAAGAGCTCTCCAAGAATTCTAACTGACTGTTTACTAGGGATCTTCCTTCTTTAGCTGCTACTACACTCATTTTTATTTCCTCTGGGCCATCAGAGTATAGAAAGTTCCCCTCTTCTTTGCAGAGATGTTCTGTGTAGATTCTTAGCCTTTTATCCTGTGCAGTTTAAGAAGCTTATTTTTCTTCACTTTCTTCTGCTTCTGGTTTCTGGCCTCTTACATTCCCCAAACCCTGTATCTCTCTAGTCCTAGGATATTCCCACAGTCTCTCTTGCTGTCTTTTCTGAGCTGTGGTCCTCTCCTAGATTCAGAGCTTTCCTCTTTCTGCTATGAGGTGGTTTTATCCCCAGGGTAAAAGTAACCCTGAACTGTCATCTCACTTTTCTTCTTCTCTATTTTCTCTTGAGATCTTGACTGACCCCTCTAGTGTGGTTAGCTTCAGGTAGCTCTCTAATGCTTTCAAAATATTTTAAAAAGTTATCCTTCAGAGGCTAATCTATTATAATCAGAAGCAGGCATCAGCAAATTATTTACTGAATGTTTTCTATGTGCCAGATTAGTACTAACTGCTGGTAGTACAATGGTAACATGTTTTTTAAAATACCTAAAACATACAACATGTAACATTCCATTTAACATAGTAAGTTATATGTGTGTGTGTGTTTATAAAGGATATGGTCTCTAACTCAAGGAACAAAAATGTTCTACTGACTAACATGGAAACATGACACATAAATAGATACATTTGTAAGGAATTATGTTAGAGGCATGCAACATATACTATAGGACTTCAGAGGAGGAGCACTTAACTTGGCCTAGAAGTGGGTGTAAAGAAAGTGAGCCAAAATGCTTCCTATAGGATGTGTGACCAGGAAAGGAATTCCAAAGATTGAGAAAGAGTCAAGCATAGGATGTCATCTACTTGACCCAATGCAACTTCTAATGATACTGTATTAATACTGAAAATATACTTCCTGTTTTTATTTAAAACACTAGTGCGTTTGAAACATTAAAGCATATTTGAAGTTGTAAAAGTTAGTTTATAATTTTTAACCATGGCATTTGATTTCTCCATAGGTTTTCAAAACAATGAATATCACACAAATTCGAGATCCTTCTCTGCCTCCCCCCGAAAAAATGCCTGAAGCCTATTCTGCAAAAATTGCTCTTTTTGGTGCTGGGCCTGCAAGTATAAGTTGTGCTTCCTTTTTGGCTCGATTAGGCTACTCTGACATCACTATCTTTGAAAAACAAGAATACGTTGGTGGTTTAAGGTAATGCCTACATTTTTTTCACGTTTAAAGTATTAAAAATGATGAGGTAAAAATTATGAATATTGTTGATTCATAATCATATAGGAACTTCAGGCTCACAGATGGTATTTTAAATGTTCTTTTTCCAAATGCTCGATTTTGATTTCATTATTCACTTTAGTTGGCTTTAAGCAGTATTTATTTAAAAATTTCTCTGTCTAGTTTCTGTGAATTTATGATAAATCTCAGCAAAATATTTTATGGATAGAAGAAGCTGTCATATGAAAACTTATTTCATCCCTGTAAATCTGTCCTTTAATGGAGATATGTCTGAAAATTATAGAAATTAAAGATGGGAAAAACGTAGGTCTGTAGAATACCTGGATAATTCATTTTGTTGTATACGTAGTCATGTTTGCCTGCTCACATATTTTTAATTTGAAATCTCTTTAGATTTGCATTTGATTAAAATCATGTCAGAGTCTACTAAAATTGGTCCATTTTAATGTACGCATATGCAGTTTTATTTCATAAATACCTTACTAATATTTAATATTAATCAGCATCGTGATTATAAATCAGGACTCACAGCCTTTTATTCCCATGAAGATTCATTCATTGAAATGGGAAAATATTTACTTTGTATCACTTTCAGATATTCAAAGCACACTTAGAAATTAGGTGGAGAAGTTTGCTTCATTTAAAGTAGATAGAACTCTATAGTGGACATACATTACATTTGTGATTAGAATGAAATAAAATTTATTATAAGTAGGAAATGCAAATTACTTAAAACATTTGATATAAAAATGAGAAAGAATTTGGATGGAAAGTTAATACTACTCAATTTGTTATTTTTCATAAATGTGTCATCTTGCATTAGAAAGTAATGACATAAAATACTGTCATTTGGCATATCTGTTGTTGTATTAACATTTAAATTTAATAGCTACTTAATAGCTACTTTTAAAGTAAATTTATCATATTTAATAATCACAGAATACATTTAATCAAATTATGACTAAAATTTGTGGTTATGTTTTTTTATATTTTATGACACCTATAAATATGTCAATAATTGTAAAATTTCATATTGGTCAAATGACTATATGAACCCAAAATAAGCTTGCATTAATATAAAACTATTTGACTGAATCATCAAGCCAAGGTATCATATAATAGGAAAACCTATTAAAGAGGATATGAAGCATAAACTGAAGAAAAAAATAACCTGATTGTCAAGAAATAATTATTTTTTCTGTATTGATGTTTCACCACTATGAGTTTTAAGGGATTACACATAGTTTGTAAAGTTTTTATTTACTCCTGGAATGTAAAATACCTAATATATTATTTTGCTGGAATGATTTAGACTATCTTTTTAATGGTGTTTTACCGCAGCTTTATTAATTAGGAAAAACATAATCTATTAGCAACATATGTATAAGCATTGTACATTTTTTTCAATTATACACATCAATGAATATGTGAGCTAATTTAAAAAATATGAACTTAATTGTTGTATACCCTAATAGGCTAGGAAAAATCTTTTTGCCCTTTAATTGCATTTCACATGGGACAGGCCTGGTTTGTGAATTATTCTGTGTCGGCAATTTTGGCATATTATTATGGTAGCTAGCATCTCCATCTCTTTGTAACTCAAATGCAGAGTAGGAATTTCTAAATCATATAAACTAACACTAAACTTGTGCTTTTACATATTTGCTGAACATTTTCTAATGGGACAGATTCTCCTGGATTAATGATCTTTGTTTTTTTTTTAATTCTTTTTTGATTTGTTTTCTTTCCTTTGCCTTTGAATGTTCCCAGTATCTAGGGACAATATAAAATGTTTAATTAGTCTTATTTGGACCATCCCATGGAAGAGGCATTATGTGCCACTGTTACAGGATTATAAAAACTGACATTGGAATTTAGCCGGCATTACAACCACAACCCTTTCCTGTTAATTTATTTTTTCACTTACAGATGCCTCTCATTCTCTTATACCTTCAAAGTGGCTAAAAAGATTAAATTAGCTTTGTATTTGAAATCAATTGCTTAAAGAGATGGTGTCAAGTTTTATCTTTCCTTCTCCTTTGCATCCAAACAGATTCTTTTATCCCTGGTGAATTAGTATCACAACCACTTTTAAAAAAATCACTAGAGTTGGTGAAAGATAGCAAGGACTTAATCCCTATTCCATTGAACACAATTGATTGATTTTTTTTTTTTTTTTGATGTGGCAACAATATTAAAATAATCAGTAGTTTTGCTTTCCTCTCCTTGTGGTTTCTTTTTTCAGGACTTGAGTTTAAAAAGGTTAAAGGGCTTCATATTATGGTAACAAAGATAAATAAAGACGGTATTAACAGACTGTAAGTGTGCATGCATGTGTATCCTTTTGATTTTGTCTTTTCCCTTTAAAAATTAGTACACATGAATTCTAACATTTTTGCTAGGTGTAGTATAGCCAGAGCAATGGTTTATTTTAGTTATTTCACACATTTTCACCACATTTATTGTATTTCATATTGATTGACAATAAAGAAAAATGGGGTTTAGGTGAAATGGTTATAGCAATAGGAATTATTTTGAGTACAAGTGTGATGTAACACAAATTTACAGTGTGGTACCTTTATCATAATAAATAGTATTATGAAAAGAGTGGGAGTTGTTATAGGTAAATTCCATTTACTTGAAAGCAGCATGAACATAGAAGAATGATTTTGTTTCTTTGTTTGTTTGTTTAGGTTTCTGATACTCCACTGGTGGTACTAAAGAATTTATTAAAAAAGTTTTTTTAATGTTTATTTATTTTTGAGAGAGAGACAGAATGCGAGTGGATTAGGGACAGAGAGAGAGGGAGACACAGAATCTGAAGCAGGCTCCAGGTTCCGAGCTGTCAGCACCAGAGCCCGATGCGGGGCTTGAACTCACGAGCTGTAAGATCATGACCTGAGCCGATGTTGGACACTCAACCGGCTGAGCCACCCAGGCGCCCCAAGAATTTATGGTTCCCATAAGGAAAATTTCTGTCAACACTTTAGATGGTTAAAAGAGTACAAGTGGAGGAATAAAAGTTTGTTTTCTTAAGCACAACAAACTTAGGAAATAATCCTTCCAATCAAATTCTGTCTTCCTTTCTTTTATCCCCTGTCTTACCATGTGGTCTTGCCAGTGATCTCATTTACTCTCATGGTCAGTTACCACTTACAGGAAAATTATTTTAAAATCTGTACTTGTCCTAACCTCTCTCTCTGTCCTGGTCATACATTCAAACCCTGGACATCTCTTATAAATTTCACCAGACCAATCAATATTACACCTCTTCCTGAGTTTGGTCTCTCAGTGGAGGGCATCACCAAAACAAATGGGAATTATCTGCACCACTCTTCAGTGTCCTGGCAATTTGTATTTTGTGAATACTTTTAAAATATCCTCTCACCTCTCCACCTCTATGCCCCTAACATCTCACTTGCTGTACCTGTATAGCCTCCAAATGGATCTCTTTGCTTCCTGATTTGTCTTTTTCAAATTCATTTTTCTAACAGTTTCCAAAACTGGTTATGTCACCCTTCTACTTGTAATCTCTCAGTAGCTCCCCATAATCTGAGACATGATTCTGGCTTGGTATTAAAAGCCATGATGTGATGTTACCTTTCCTCCCTCTCTCACTCCCTCCCTCTCTCCTTTCCTTCTTCTCTTCCTTCCTCCCTTCAATATCTATTGATCTCCTATGCGCTGGTCATAATCTCAGGCACTAGAGCTCAGAAGTGGACAGAACAAAGTACCTCTTCTCGTGGGGATTATTACACTCTAGTAATGGGAAGGCAGACAATAAACAAACAATAAACCAAATATAGAATATGTCAGGTGATGATAAATGCATTAAGGTTTGTTTGTTTTTTAACTGGCAGTTTAGTGGTATGGTAGCATATTTAATGCCTGGAGTAGATTTTTTTTTAATATACTTATTCTCTAATCTATGCAATAAAGTAATTTTCAATAAAAATCATAATAATCAGTAATAAAAACTATTTTGATTCATTCCTATAAAAAACATTAACAATTGAAGTAATTTCAATATTAAAGATATAGCTCACACTGTTTCACTATTTTTTTAATTAAAAAATGTTATTTCCAATGTTTATTTATTTTTGAGAGAGAGCATGAGTGGAGAAGGAGCAGAGAGAGAGGGAGAACACAGAATCTGAAGCAGGCTCCAGGCTCTGAGCTGTCAGCACAGAGTCCAACACAGGGCTGGAACACACAAACCATAAGATCATGACGTGAGCTGAAGTCGGTCACTTAACTGACTGAACCACCCAGGCGCCCCTCACTATTTTAATTTGAAGCACAAAAGCCTCATAGTTGCCCAAAATTAGAGTTGATGTAAATCATATTGCTTCATGTGCTATCATTTTATCAGTTCCAAACCGACTGTTTAAACATTAGTGTATGTCCTAGTAAGGGATGGAGACACATGCTGCCTGTGGTAGTTGGAACAAGGAATGCTTTCAGCTAAATCAGTATGTGCCAGTGGCCACTGTTTAACTGGGATTTCTCACATTAACTTCCTTATAGAACTCAATGTTTACTAAGAATGGGTAATAAAAATGGGGCAATTTAAAGCTTATTCACATATTACTAGAACTCTACAGCAACCATAGCAATTATTTAGAATTTAGATCTACCAGAGATTTTGGGGGGGGTGGGTAGGGACAGGGAGACTTGTGTTTAGGATATCAGTGACACTGTTGAAAGCAGCTCAAGGTGAAAATACAAAGCAGGTTTATTTTGGGGTACCTGGGTGGCTCAGTCGGTTAAGCGTCCGACTTTGGCTCAGGTCATGATCTCACATTCTGTGAGTTCAAGCCCTGCGTCGGGCTCTGTGCTGACAGCTCAGAGCCTGGAGCCTGCTTCGGATTCTGTGTCTCCCTCTCTCTCTGCCCCTCCCCTGCTCATGCTCTGTCTCTCTCTGTCAAAAATAAATGAACATTAAAAAAAAATTTAAAAAAATTACAAAGCAGGTTTATTTTAATCAGTATTGTAACTGTTTAGTCTAAATCATTACGCCCCCTTATGGCCTGCACCTGGGCTAGGGAATAGAGATGATGGAATTTGGGGCTTGAGCAACTCATAAAATGGAGTTGTCTGAGATCCAGTGTTGGGGTGGAAGACCCAAAGTTTAATTTGGGGCCTGATGAACCTGAGATACCTGTTAGACATTCAAGTGAACATAAAAGGCTGGAATTATGGTCTGAGGATAAGAATATAAGATTCATCACATGTAGATGACATTTAAAGCTCCGAAACAGGGAGGAATTCATCTAATACTCAAAATACCTGACTACAGGGCTGTGGTGTTTCTGCTAAAGCCTCCTGAAACCCCTCTGCTCCATTGTCATTCCCTGATCACAGCATGTGTACTTTTTTCCTCCTCCCCTTTCTGTTCCTCCTCCTTGCCATTTTCTTTGTCCTCTGATGCCTTCCCTCTTCTTCACTTAACTGAAAGCTGATCATTTGTCACATGTCATCTACCTGATTATCTCATCCCACAATAAGCCTCCCCTCTTTTGAAACACTCTTGTTCACAGTGATATTTTACATTTGTCACATTGTACTGTGTATGTGTATATATCTCCCATCTGTCTGCTGATCTCATCCATTGGTGTATATAAATATGTCACATTTATAACTATCCACAATCATCTCCCTATCCCCTGTCTACTCGTTAATAACCAAATCTAACCAACTTTTTTTGAGTATCTCACCTTCCACTTACTTCCTGTAGGATATCCTTGGAGATATCCTACACAGTTATTTGCTTAATGCTTTTGCTAAGCACTGTGGTAAATATTGGCTACAATGCTTTCAGGGCAGTATGAGGATCTAACCAAAGTTGCTGAAGCCACAGCAGCCTGGCATTCCATTTACTCCAATGCCTACTTCAGCTTTCAAAGTTATATTTCTTTTTTGCTTGTGTTTCCTCCTGCTGGGTTGGGTAATGTCATCCTTTCTTTCTTTGTGATCAACAGAAAAGTCGTAGCCTTTCTTTCAGAGCTATTTCTTAAATAACAACTATTTGCCTTCACTAGCATAAGTTTTTCTTCTTTTGTACCATAAACTTACTGAAATACCATAAAAATTTTAGGTTAGGGCTTAGTCAAGGGAAGGTACTATGCCTCACAATGTATCTGGATGTTGCCTTGCTATGGTTGGTTTATTTGGCTGGAGTTCGTTATTCACAGCTCATTATTTTGTTCTCTTGTCCAGCCTTTTGAGAAACTTCATCAGACCCAACTTTAGTCCATTTCCAGTTTCTCTCACACAAAGCCCCATGCCTATCAAGGCTAGGTGTCTGTGTCCACATACAATTCTTAATATTTAAGAATCTTTCTGTGTAGCCTTTCGGGCCATAGAGTAGGAAAAAATATACCCAACCCTTTTGGGTTCTTTGGCGGGGCCTGTGAAATAAGCAGACAAAAGACAGATTAATAAGAAAAACAGTTCACTAATACATGTATCATTCATACAAATAGAAGAACATAGTGATGATAGAACTTGAGGTTCTATCAAAAAGATAGAACCTGAGGTTTATATAGCTTCTTAACGAAGAACAATAAATTTGCGAGATGGCAAGACAAAGGAAAAGGCTTTAGGCTTTTAGAGGCAACAAACTTTCTAGGGGTGGGAAGGTAGATATATGAGGAAAATTCATGGAATATAAGGGTTATTTAGTAAGGTTTGTAATGTAGATTCTTTTTAGTCTTATTAGCCTGTTTTGGGGCTAAAAAGGGTCTAGAATTATCTCCTGGTGATTAAGAGTTCTGCCCTTACTGGTAGGGAAATAGAGATACACCTTTGTAAATTTATGTCCTGCTTTTAGGCAGATATTAGGGGGGCAGAGAGCTTTTCTCATATCTCCTTCTTCTCAGTTGCCTTCTGCTCAAAGTAATCCTTATACCAAAGTGACATTTTTTTGGGGGGTGGAATATTCTAATACCCTCCAAGGGCCCTCCGTGGTGCAGAGTATTATCATGACTTCCTAGGTAGTATGGCTAGAGTCCACAAGTCAGCTTAAGTGATTTTTATCTCTGACTTAGGCCCAAATTTACTCTCACGTATAATCTTATGTCCTAACTAGATGGAAAGCCCCTGTATATAGGGCATTAATTTTATACTGTTTAATACTTTGCATTTTCTATAGCACTGAGCATATCTTGCTAATTGTTTTATGTATGGAAATTAATTGAATAGTTATGTTCTTAAGTCTCCAAAGAATGAAAAATCTGTGTGTGCACTTTGAAAGACTTGGTATTGAATGATCCAGTAGGCTCATCTTCAACTATTACTTATTTATTTTATAAATATATTGCTATAATGCCTGGATATACCTCATTCATTGCATGTACTACATTCTATTGTAATTATCTGTGTATGTAACCTTCCCCACCAGAATGAGAATATACTGAAAATAGGAATTTGGTAAAATTCACCATCAAATCACTACAGCTAATGCTGTGTCTGGTACTTTGTAAATGCTTATTGAATAAATAGATAACTGAATAAATGAATTAGTATATATTCATGAATGTTTATAGCCTTTTTATTGCTATAAAACATTGAAGACTTATTTGTCCTTACCTTTGGTACTCCATAAACTATTATACTATTTAAATTATAATATTTTAGTGCTCATTTTTGTTTTTTAAGTGCAAATAGTGAGCACTCATATTAAATAGGATTACTTTTTAATGACTCTATCCTTTTGGGATACTTACTGCTTTCATAGAAGATTGGTTTACTATAAAAAAATATTCTATAGATCATCTGGAACCAACCCAATAATATTCTAAACAGCATAGTAATTCAAAGTTACAGATTTGAATTTGAACAAGCTACTGGTATATTTGTGCAATATATATGTATATATATATTAAATACTAAAAATAGTTTTAATTTTCGTGTTTTTAAGACTTTTTTCTTTTTTAAAAAATACTCTTTTAATGTTTATTTATTTTTGAGAGAGAGACACAGAACACGAATACAGGAAGGGTAGAGAGAGAGGGAGACACAGACTCTGAAGCAGGCTCCAGGCTCTTAACTCTCAGCACAGAGCCCAACACAGGGCTCAAACTAATAGCAAGATCATGACCTGACCTGAAGTCGGAAGCTTAACTGACTGAGCCACCCAGGTTCCCCTTAAGATTTTTTTTTTCCTTAGGAATTCATTGGATTGTTAGATAATTCAGCTAAGTACTCTAACAAACTTAAAAGTGTTGGAATTGCTTTTAACCAATTATCTATTTGTTTTCCAATGTGTATATTTATTTTCACACCACTTGCAACTATTTCTACTGCTATCCATTTAATATTGTATCATACATGTAAAAGTTGGATGTTCTCACACCCATATAATATGAAAATACTCTTAGAAAAGGTGCTTATTCCTTTAATACTGATCAATATAGACATGTTGCGTTTTTTAAAGATTAATAATTTTTCCACAAATGCTGCTGCTTTTTTTTTTTTTTTTCCAGTACTTCTGAAATCCCTCAGTTCCGGCTACCATATGATGCAGTGCATTTTGAGATTGAGCTTATGAAGGACCTTGGTGTAAAGGTAAATGAAAAACATAACACATGTGTATTGCTCAAAGAGTAAGGAGTAAGCTCTACACTAAAGATTAACAGCAAAATGTCACACATTTTAGGAAAGAACAATTAAAAGCTACACCAGGCAGAAGCAGAAAGATGCTTCTCCTTGCTTAGGGCATTTGTCTGTCTACTGTCTGAATGCCACTAGCCTGGAAAAGGGCAATCAATAGTTCTCATCTGGCACGCCTGCATGTGATTAATTGTCTGTAAGAAACAAATTCCTAAATTGCTTTAGGGGTTCACTGCAGCTAATAGAAGGATTTGGTTTCTTTAATCACATTTTTTTCATGCAAGTTGTGTGCACTCTGAAACATTTGTATTTCACAATTTGGAACATAATCTTGCAGAGGTTTATTTTATTTATTATATGCATCGTGTCAGTAGTGTTAATGTGATAATCCTCTCTTATCATAAGCAGCAAATCAGCGGTGTAGAAAGCAACAGCTTTGTATTTTTCATTGTTTTGTGAGATAAACTTTGTTCTTTTAAAGATGGTCAAAAGTTAACATATTTGTACTTTCAGAATTTGGCTTTAGATATTCCTATTCTTTTCTATTAATTAGGAGTATTATACTCTGGCTCTTCACTGGAACATATTGCTATTTTTTGTTTCAAACTATTAATTTTACATAATAGATGTACACAATATATTAATAAAGTATTGAGATTTAAGTAAAACATTCTGTAAGTGCATGCAAAAGATATTTTGAAAAATGATTAAGAAACTATTTGTAGCTCTTGCATTTAGAAATAAAAATTAAAGTAATCAAAAGGGGAAATCCTCAAAACAATATTTTGTGCTTTTACACTTTATTTGGCAGAAAGCATTTACACATAATCACTGAACAAGAAATCTTATAGCAAGTACACATAACAGATGTGCACAACTTTATGAAAACTCAGCGTTCAAAACTAGTGTTGTTCAAAATAGATCATTTAAAGATGATTATTTGTTTTTTAAAAATGTATTCTGAATAGTTCTTTAAATGTCTTTCATTCTGAATACAGACTCTTAGCTAAATCTCATTAAATAAGGAAAATATTATTTATTGGGACTTCAAACTAATGGATCAGGTGTAAACTAATATATTAGGTGTTAGTAGCAATTGAAGATGAATCAGAAATTAATTTAAAGCACTTCTAAATTTATCTTATAAGTAATTGCAAAATTCCATTCAGTGTTTGCAGTACCAGATATATTGCATAAATTAGAGCATACCCATTACTCTCATTAGGAAACCCATCAAGGACATAGTAGCAGTGAATGTACTGAGTGCCAGAAAAATATATATTTTAGCAGTAGTCCTGCAACTTTCTACTTTTATAGTCAGATAACTTTGACAAAGTCAATTAACATCCCTAGATTTGGTCAATATCTGTTGAAAGGTAAAAGTGTGTACTACCATTTGTGTAAGATACAAACTTATCAGGCCATCTATACAGAGGATATCTCTGGAAAAATAGAAGATTCTGATAGCGTAAGGTTGCTTTGGAAAGGTATGGGAAGTATTTTTTACCATTTTGTAGGTTCGAATTTTAAACTCTGTGACTTTATTATATTATCAATAAAAAATTAAAGCCTAAATGAAACAAGAAGTTAATACTGTTTTGCCCACCTCTCAGGTTGTTTTAAAATGAGACATTTCGGGGCGCCTGGGTGGCGCAGTCGGTTAAGCGTCCGACTTCAGCCAGGTCACGATCTCGCGGTCCGTGAGTTCGAGCCCCGCGTCGGGCTCTGGGCTGATGGCTCAGAGCCTGGAGCCTGTTTCCCATTCTGTGTCTCCCTCTCTCTCTGCCCCTCCCCCGTTCATGCTCTGTCTCTCTCTGTCCCAAAAATAAATAAATGTTAAAAAAAAAAAAAAAATTAAAAAAAAAAAAAAGAATAAAATGAGACATTTCAAATATTCAAACTTTCTTTGTAAACAGTAAATTGTATGTATAATTCTGAGGAGACACAGCAATGAGATTCTTTTTCAGCTTTCAGGACTTATATCCACTGATAGGATGCTTGCAACTTTTCTAGCTTGTCAACTTTAGCCATAAGAGGATACATTTTTTTTTTTTTCAACGTTTATTTATTTATTTTTGGGACAGAGAGAGACAGAGCATGAACGGGGGAGGGGCAGAGAGAGAGGGAGACACAGAATCAGAAACAGGCTCCAGGCTCTGAGCCATCAGCCCAGAGCCTGACGCGGGGCTCGAACTCACGGACCGCGAGATCGTGACCTGGCTGAAGTCGGATGCTTAACCGACTGCGCCACCCAGGCGCCCCAAGGATACATTTTTAAAAAAGTGCTCTACACTTGTTACCTCTTTTTTCTCCTCGCCAGATTCTTATTAACCTGCCTTCTGTTTGTACTTCTCAACTAACATTTTATATTTTAAAGTCAACAATAATTTCCTGTCAATGAAATGAAGTTTGCTCTAAGTTCATACTGTTTGAACTCCTATGCAGCACTCATGTACGTGTGTGTGTCTGTGTGTATGATGTGTATGTATGTATGTATTTTTAGCTTTCATGATCTAGCATTATCTTGGTTATTATTCAGTTTTTCTTTTTTTTTCTTTCTAATAGATTTGTTTCATTTATTCAACAAATAATTATTGAGAATTTACTTTTGCCAAGTAGTATGATAAATACTAGTCTAGAACCATCCTTTCAAACTCCACACCTATATTCTTAGTAGTTTAATGAATACATCTATCATCCAAATAGCATACTCATCATACCCAAAACTAAGTTTAATTCATCTTTACTCCCAACTACATTCTTAGTTCAATTTCCTGTTGAATAATTTTAATTTATTTTATATCTAATAGCTTGATAGATTGGTTCTTCTTAATTTTAAATTGAAAAAATTTCAATTTAAAAAATTTTGCAGCCAGACATTGTCACAAGAAAATAAAGAGACTTTTTGTCTGCTCTCTATTTATACATTATATATTTTTCTTCCACTGTTTCATTGGCTGGAATCTCTAGTATGTTATAAAAGAGTGATAATACATGGCATTGTTTTTTATCTTTGATATAACATTTTTAATCATATTGAGCACATTTTTCTAGATTTAGAATATTAAAATGTTATTTTTTTATTTTAATGGGGAGGGTGTGTTAAATTTTCAAAATGCCCCTTTAAAGAACTTATGCTCAGTTAACATTGAATTATATAAACCTTTATAAATCTGGATGATATCCAGTTTTGCATTGTTTTATTATATGTGTACGTCTACATTTGCTCTGTTAGTCTTTTTCCTTTTTCCTGCATTTATTTATGTCATCAACACAAAACTGGAAATAGAGCAGGGAATAGTCAAATACCGTTGCTGTCCTTGCAGAGTTTCAAATCTACTGAAAGCCTGTTTATGTTTTGCTTTACTTATTTGTGTTTGTTATCTTTGTGAGTTTTTGGTAATAGAGTTATGTTAGGCTTATAAAAATAAATTTCCTAGCATTTCATTATTTTCTTGTTGCTGAGAGTATTGTCTTGAGACAAGTATTTTACTGAATTTGAAAATTTTACCATTCTGACCTCAAGCCTTTTTATGAGAGATAGAACTTTGGCTTTTTTTTTTTTTTTTTTTTTTTTTTTTAATAGTTATCAGTCTTTTCACCTATTTAATTCTCTGTCAATTTGGCCAATATATATTTTCCTAGAAAAATTTATTTCATTGAGACTTTTGAATTAATTACCATACATTTAAACATGTTATCCCCTATACAATAAAAAATATCTCATCTGTACCTGGGATTATACATTGTATTTTCTTAACTTTTTTATTGATAAAAGTGGGTAGTGGTTTTCCAGTTAATGTATTCTTTACAGGAACCAGCTCTTAGTTTTATATTTTCTTATTATCTAATTGCTGACTTTATTCTTTCCTCATGCTATTCTTATACTTATTATTCTTTTTTAATGTCTTGAGTTGTATACTTTTCTTTTTTCTAGGATTAATACTGAAACCATTTTAAATTATTAATTTCTCTTTGAATAAACTCTTGTCAGAATCTGTACGTTTACATTAGTATTATTAGTGTTATTTTTCTTCAGTAGTTATAGTTTTGATTGTTTTTTCCTTTTCATAGAATTGTTTAGGATAATATTTTTATTTGCTCATGTATTCTTGTGATAGAATTCAAGGTTTTGTTTTTCACTTTACTTATAAGCAGAATATATAGTTTTTAATTTCTTAAATATATTCAGTTGATTTCACATCAAAGGATCCTTCTATTATAATAAAATTATTCATTCCTTAGAAGAAGTAGCCTTTTAGGCGTGCCCAGGTGGGTCAGTTGGTTAAGTGTCCAACTTCGGCTCAGGTCATGATCTCACAGTTCATGAGTTCGAGCCCTGCATCAGGCTTTATGCTAACAGCTCAGAGCTTGGAGCTTGCTTTGGATTTTGTGTCTCCTTCTCTCTGCCCCTCCGCTGCTCCTGCTTGTGTCTCTCTCTCCCTGTCTCAAAAATAAATACACATTTAAAAAATTTTTTTTAAAAGAAGAAGTAGCCTTTTAGCTGTTATATTTTTATAAAATCTCTTTATTTTATTTCCCTTCCCTGTTCCTCTGTTTTTAGTTGTGGGGGTGGGGATGGGCTAAATGGGTAAGGGGCACTAAGGAATCTACTCCTGAAATCATTGTTGCACTATATGCTAACTAATTTGGATGTAAATTTAAAAAAATAAATAAAACAAGTTAATAAAAAAAATCTCTTTATTTTATAATAAGAAATTTACTTAGACCACAGCAGATTATTTTTAACCCTTGGGAGACTTTAACAAAGTCTCATGATATTTGTGTCAATGTCACTAACTTTTTAAATACTCTTTGTTTTGCAATTGAGATTAGGTGGATATAAATATTTTTGCTTCAGGGGCGCCTGGGTGGCGCAGTTGGTTAAGCGTCCGACTTCAGCCAGGTCACGATCTCGCGGTCCGTGAGTTCGAGCCCCGCGTCGGGCTCTGGGCTGATGGCTCAGAGCCTGGAGCCTGTTTCCGATTCTGTGTCTCCCTCTCTCTCTGCCCCTCCCCCGTTCATGCTCTGTCTCTGTCTGTCCCAAAAATAAATAAACGTTGAAAAAAAAAAATTAAAAAAAAAAATATTTTTGTTTCAGTCTTCATAATATTTCTAATGACTTCATTTTTAAAAGCAAAAATGTAAATCTGCATGAAATCTTATATTTTTCTAAATATCTTTATATGCTATTTCTCAATATTTTGATAGAATTCTTTATTGATTAAACTTAACTTGTAATTATTAAGCATGTCTTCTGCTTCATAATTTGAGTAAAAATACCTAAGATCTCATTTTTGATAACCTCTCTACATCATCTTCTTTTTTATTATACTTATTTGAAGCATTTCCATTATTATAGAATGTTATTGGAAAACTAATATAAAAACATATCGTAACACTACTGGAGGAGAGAAATATATTTATTAATAGCTGACAAAATAGTTTTTGTGTCTGAAGAAAGCTAAATATTATTTTTAAATTCCTTCATCTGATCTCCTGTCTTAGGGATTCTGGAAATATTTTATCTATTTAGCCAAATATTCTATCAGAAATGTGAAGAGCGTGTTTGTTGTAATCTGTATTTTTTAATAATGGGTATCATATATTTCATTTGAAGAAAGAGTTCCACTCCAGAAAAAAGTTGTTAACCTATTTACATTACAAATATTATTATATATGAAGATATATTATAGATGTAAAGAAAGTTTCATGACGTCCCAAAGGGGATATTAGATGGAACTTTGGCTCATGGCTTATATTTAGCCCATATATTGGAATAGTAATAATTCTTATGCTGAGCTTGTAGTGGAGTAAATTTTCTTCTGATTTTAACTAAGAAGCTTGAGTACTTAGTCCTAAATTACTAAAGCCACTAGAGGAAGGTACAATATGTGTTATAATTCATATTAAGAAAATCAAGATGAAAAAATATTACATATACAAAAGTTCAGAGGACTAAAGGAACAAAAACACAAGCAAAATGCTCACCATGTGATTTTTGTTCTAGCATCATATCTATTTAACAAATAATGTTAGGATTTCATAGTTTATCAGCCATAGGAATGTTTTTGATGTTTGTAGTTGTCTCATAATAACTAGTTTTAGTTATGTGTTATATCTCTGAGCCCAATTTCCCAATGCATAACATAAACAAAATTTTAACCTTTTTTTTTGTCAGAGTCCTTCTCCTTGTTCTTTCTTACAGAGTTAATTATTGATTGGATAACAAATGTTTGGGAGTCTAAGGCTTTTAGAAAAGGAAAATTTGACTGGAGTTCCCAGCACAGACAGAAAAGAGTCCTGGTGCCTGACACTCCACTCAATGTTGCCATTATTGCTTTGTCTCATTTCCATCATGGAGCTACTTCCTAATGATGGCTATTATCCATCTTTCTCACAGTGTCTGTCCACAGTATAGTAAAGTCTTCCTGGTCCCAGTTCTAGTGTATTAATACCAAGAATCAAGCTACTTGTCTTTCCAGTTTTCAATACACAAACGTATAATTCATTTTTTTTTTCTTCCCCAGTTGCATACATTGCCTGCTAAGCTGGAAACAGACTGTAGAAATATGAAATGTCTTTACATCTTTCCTGTACATTATAAACTCAGACATGTTCACTCTACTAGAGTGGAAGGATTGGGATGTCTTTATTATCATTTGATAAAGCATGTAGTAACACTACTAAACTAAATTGCTGTGCCCATACACGCACCACCTCAGGAGGGATGGGGGTATTTCTTGAATCTTTTTGCTGAGCCAGTGGATAAACTAAACTTAAAGTCAGGTATTCTGAGGATCACTTCCACTAATTAACCCATTGGCAGGGCATTCCACTGCTCAACTTTGGAAACTGCATTCTCATTCTATTTGCTAAAACTCAATTTAGAATGTTTGGACCTATAGATTTCTTTTATGTCTAGCCTTTATTATATACCGGTATTAAGGTTATGTATTTCATAAAATAAACAGTAGAACTTTCTTTATGATCAGAAATAGTTTAATAAAATTAAAAAATCTATTCTTTAAAAATTAGCATAAATTGAAATTTGGAAATCTCACTTTGGATACATTGAGTAGTATCTAATGCTACTAATTCTAATGCCAGTTAACACTATTAGATACTATAAGTATCTTTAATATTATATATTTACTTGATGTTTTAATTCTTTCTGTGGTATTTGATATCTTCCAGAGTTCTGAATGTTCGTTTTTAATCTCACTTTTGCTGTCCTCAGCTTAGAAACTTTCAGTTATTCCGTCTCCCAATATAAAAATAGAATTAGTATTTTAGGAAAACAAAAATGATCCTTTATGATACAATCTCAGACATCTTCTCCCCCTACTTTCTCTTTCTTTTTTATGCTTTACCCTTTGTATTTCAGAAACACTACATTTCAGTAGGTCTTCACATGTGATGTGTTGTTCTGTGCCTTTGAAGATGGTGCCAGTTCTACCTGTCATTCTCCTTTTACTTCAGAATCATCAGGGCATAACTGGTACTCCTGCTGGCTCTGCAGTTGGACTATAGATGTAACTTTGATGAAGGTTGTCTAAGCCCTCTTATTCCTTGGTTTCATCATCTAAAATGAGGATACTGGTATCACTTCATAGGGGTTCTTGTGAGGATTAAATGAGCCCATATATGCAGTGTTTAGAAGAGAGCCTTGCACTTAGTTAAGTATTCTGTGCAGGTTATTTTCAAGTACTGTTTCATACATAAAATTTGTTCTCCCTCCACGACTCAGTTTAGAGGCTTTTGTTTTTAGGAACATGCTATCTTCAGAACCCAAAGAAGCCTACCAGGAATGGTGCTTCCATCTCTATGGTGGTAAATGAAAGCAAAATTGCAGCAAAATATTTTATTTTAGGGAGGATATACTGCCACATACCTGACAAGACCTCTAAACTTCACTCAAGTGGCTAGTCCTTGATCTTCTTAGGGTTCATTGTTGGCCCTCTGCAGGGCATGTGTCTTAACAAAGTCTCCAGCATACTAGCCACCTGTTACTCATGCTGTCCAATCTGCATGGTGTTCTTAATGTAGTGGATCACTGTGATGTTCTGTGGGGTGACCAGATAGTTTCAGATTACATATATTATTACAGTAGAGAGTCGACATGTTCCAGAGGCAAAACTGTAAATGAATATTCTTATCTTTCCTCTGTGAATGTGAATTGTTTCTGATTCCTTTTTCTCAGCAGCAGGATGGAAAAGTATACCACATGCAGGGTACCTGTGGCCTTGTTAGTCTGCTTTAGCAATAATACCATGCCTATCACAGAAACTGTATTCAGGGGTACTCTTTGGTTGAGCCTCCAGTAGTTTACAATTATTCTCTAGGAATCATCTAGCCTCTGCTGAGACCAGACTGGTGAATTACACAGAAATATAACATGGATCACCACAATCTCTCCCCATCCTACCCACCACCAGTATATGGTAGTGTGTTTGATTTACTCTCGACTGGGGTTTCAGAAGTTCTCTGTCCTTCCCAATTATTGTAGCTCTTACTTCACAGACCAGTGACCCAATGTGGGGATAACTTCAACTAACAAGTATAGCAGTTTTGCTTATGCAGCTGAAGACTAGGGGAATAATCACTACCTGGGGCTGTGATCTCAGTGGTCTGTGAGCCAGAATTCAACCAGGCTCCATCTTTTACCTTGTCCCTGTAGTCCATACTCTTGTATCCCTAGCTATCAAGGTCAGTGAAGGATCTGTGTCCAGTGTCCTTGAAATGTGTGATTATTCCCCTTTCCCCAGTGTACAGTACTTACATAAATGGCCATATCTCCCTTTAGAGAAGGACTAAGGGAATCATTATAGTATTAATTTGGCAGGATGTTACAGGTCCTTCTTCCTAGGGACTTGGCCACCTTCTGCAGTCAGTAGGTTCCGGATCTGAAAATTGGCTCATGACTGGGTACTGAACAGGTTATTGTGACTTTTAATAGGGATGACTACCCTCTGCCTCCCAGATTTATTCACCTTCCCTGGACCATGTCCCCTATCAAAATTCTATCTATTATTTTAAAAAGCTCTATGAAAATTCTGTTACCTGTATTCTCATCCTGCTAACTTAGCCAGAGTGAATCTCTCTATCCTCCAAATTCCTGTAAACATGTGCTAATCACACTCTGTTTTATGTTACATTTATTTATGTATATCTTCTGCACAGATCCTGATTATACATTGAGGCAGGAACTGTGTTCATTTATCATTTTATTCTTTAAAGTGCCTCACATAGTGCCTTGAATGTATTAATCAAGCTATGAAAGTTTACTGATGTGATTTTAAATACACTAGTGTTTCTTCTGCTACTTCATTGAAAGACTTTTGCATTTAGTCCTTTTAAGTAACACATGTTAGTGTTCTATTTATATACTGTTTTGTACATGTAAGCCTATATACTAAAAGACAAAAATATGTCTACATGTATATGAAATTTTATATATCGATTTTATGTTCCTTTTGATGTTAAAGTTAAGGTTTTAATTAATCAAATGCCAAAACATCATTACTGAAATATTGTTTCTTATAGATAATTTGTGGCAAAAGCCTGTCAGTGGATGAAATGACTCTTAGTACTTTGAAAGAAGAAGGGTACAAAGCTGCTTTCATTGGAATAGGTGAGTAGTTTGCTTTTAAATATTTTTCTTTGTAATTTAAAAAAAAAATCCTGACAATGTTCAGAATAACTGCCTGCAGACATTTCCATGATAGAAGTTATATCTGTTCAGAGAGCAGACAGGAATGAGTGGCTGAAGAAAGTTTTCTATTTATAACTAACTGTGTTGTCTCACCTTTATTATGGATAGACTTTGGCAAGACCATTTTTAAATTTCCTGTTTCTCTCCCTATGTCATCATCATCAGTGAACATCTCTAAGACACAAAATATCTTTCAGTCATGCCATGGAAGCTCAGAATTTGGGCTAAAAGGTGTCTAGATGCTGTGGCTTTCTTAAGATAAAATAAATTGGCTAAATAGATAATAAAGGACAGAATTGGCTCAGGTTTTGTTTGTTCTATTCATTTTTTTTTTTGAAAATTTCCTAAAGAATTTTCATATTTAGCTGAAAGTTTAAACATGTTTAATGATACATCTGGAAGTCACATACCTGCTAAGGTATTTCATGTGTATCATGGTTGTATATTTTGTCTACATATTCCATGGAGATTGTTTTCTAACATTTTTTTCCATCCACTTATTATTTTACTGAGAGACCAGAGAGAACAAAGAGTTGATTTAACTTAATCTTTGTCTCATAAACTGTGTTCATTCTCTCATATGATCATACTGGGGACAGTTACAGCATACAAACTGAGTAACTCCATATTCCTGTCTTTCAGTTTGTCTTTCCTGCAGTTCCCAGTCCTTAAATGTGAATAGCTAAGAAATAAATCTATATGAGATGAAAACTTTTCCTCCCCTTTAAGTGATCACACATTGGATTACTTTTGTTTTGGAGCTGTCCTTATTCATAGTGTTTCTGGAGTGAAATTATCAGGAATGCTTCTTAGCCTACTACATTTTTCTTATCAGGATGCCATGTATTCTCTTACTAGGTAATTGCCACCAAATCTAAGACCATCTCTGTCACTTCCTTTATTTAGATGAAAACCTATGGAGAGGAAAATAAATTTTTGCCATCATTTCTAGCTTCTAAGTGTCTTGAACCTCCTTCCTTTCAGAAACTTGAGTTCAACTGTCATCGCTATTTCTCTATATTATCTTCATAAGTACAATAATCACTGTGTGGATCAAGAACAGGAAGGAGAAGATGTGTGATATTTTCATAGGTTTCCTTTTGAGAGGCACTAAACCAACTTTGGTTTTACTCTCAACATTACATTTGTATGTTAAATTAACATACAAGAAATAACATAAATAAATAAGTCAAGCGTTTATGAAGTACACTCTAATACCAACAATTTGGATCAGCAAGTTGTTACTTTCAACAAGTACAGGTTCAAAAATGCTTGGTGAATAATAAATGGAAAATTTAGTAAGGCAAAAGGTATGAAATATTGGTGATGTTTTCAAATAGTTATTTGAAATTCACCATTGCAGCTTCCTACAGCAGGTGTGCATAAAAGATGGGTTTCCCATTAATGGAGTAGTATATGCTATTGCAGTTTTGTGTATCTCTACGAATGTTGTCTACAAAGAATCTGTATTGGAGAGATGGGCCAAATAAATAACTAATACATTGAAATATCTCCAAATTAATTGCATAATAAGCAAATTATAACAAAACTTTGGAATAATTAAATGGTTTATCACTCTGAGTAGTTTAGCCAGAGCAGTATCTTCCATCTGTTAGAATCAACAATGTGTTTTAGTTTTTTTAAGTTTCATTCCATTAAATCCCCTTACATATGTTATTTGATAATGCCACATCCGTTCACAATACTCCATTTCACTCCGCACCGAGGTGTGAATACTGCATTTAAAATGTGGAGTCCTTTCATATTTATGTTGCTGTGCATTTTCATGCTGGGAAGTGAATCTTTTGACATTTTGGTGTAGTGATGTGTAGAATGCAGTTATGTTCTATTTCAGTATTTTATACGAAATATATACAAGGAAGTTTCATCTTGTCAAAAAAAAAAAAAAAAAAGCTTCTGTCTATAGAAGACAAGTAGCGTTACCTCCAGGAGTTGTTTATTTGACACTTTTGATTGCCAAGTTGGGAATTTATGACCTTTCTATTACCATATAACTGCCTGTTACTTGGACAGCCTCACATCCTTACATGCTTTTGTTCATTAACCATGCTTCTATATTGTAATTAAACTTCATTCACTTACTTTACCTTTTCCCACTCAGTTTGGAGAAGTCAATTTTGGAATAGGACTCCTATATTATTTAGAATATAGGTTTGGCCACTTTAAGAAGGGAAAATGAGACTTAAACTAGGTACATGTTTATCCTCCCTCATCTAACAGTGTGAACCATCCTCAACACTTGACTTCCATCTTTCATCAGTTGGTATACACTCTGCCCACATTCCTGCTAACAAAAATGGAAAGTAAGGAAGGGAACTCCTTTCCTTTGAAGTTTATGACCCAGCAATTGCACATAGCACTTTTGTTTTTACTTCGTTGTCCACAACCTGGTCACATAAACATACTTAACAGCAGGGGCGCCTGGGTGGCTCAGTCAGTTAAGCGTCCAACTTTGGCTCAGGTCATGATTTCACGGTTCATGGGTTCGAGCCCTGCATTGGGCTCTGTGCTGACAGCTCAGAGCCTGGAGCCTGCTTTGGATTCTGTGTCTCCCTCTCTCTCTCTGCTCCTCCCCCACTCATGCACTGTGTCTCTCTCAAAAATTAAAAAAAAACATGAAAAAAAATTTTTAACAGACTTAACAGCAGAGGACGCTGGGAAATATAGCCTCTAGCTGGGCGGACATAAGCCCCCATTAAGTTTCTATTACTACAGACAAGGGGGGTGATAAATATATGGAGGGAAAAGAAATAATGGTCTCTCAGCCATAGGTGTGCATCATCATTGGTATTTGACACATGGATACCTTACTGAGAGAGATTAGTAAAGCAGTGAATAGCAAAGCATTCACTCTTTGAACTTACTGCTTACATATTGGTTACATAGGTCATTAATGAAAATGGAGTATATTCTCTTTCTGTAGTTGGGAATACTATTTATAGATCTTCTATATTTATAAATACTATCCATTCTATATTAGTTTGTCTAAAAGAAAAAAAAAGTCTTACTTTGTATTAAATATGACTCATCAGGACAGCTTAGTAAATCCAATGCATTAACAAAAGTATATTCTCATGTTTCCTGATTTTTAACAATACGTATGATATTGCTGTTGAAAAGTTGCTCACTTTTAGGTTTTTCCCTAACTAATGTTAACAGAGTCCATTAAAGAAAACATCACAGTGAATGTACATTATTGTGACACATATCTTTTTACCCATGGCAGATTTAGTTTCTTCTAAGTGAAATAAAGATAAGTGATTTAAAGCTCTGTGCCTTTATCCAACTGTATTGAATTATTTTGGGACAATTGGAATTTTTTTAAAAGACTCTAAAATTTTGCTATTTTTTTTTAAATAAAAGCACTTGCAGAGTGTGTTACTATCAATGTTCAGAAAGAGTTAGAACATCCACTATGCAAGTGTTTTTCAAAGTATTGGTGATTCTCTTTGGTTGGTATTAAAATCAATATAATGGATTACAGCCATCATTTTTTTTTTTTTATTTTACAAAATTGAACACAAAAGAATAGAAAATATCAAAGTGTGTTGCTCATGGTTAGGGTAAATGTTATTTTGTGAAAAATATTTTCAGTTTTGTGTGTATTTGTTTTTGGTTTGCATACTTGCACATGCACCCTGCATATTATTAAAAAAATGTATTTTGGGGGCATCTGGGTGGCTCGGTTGGTTAAGTGTCCAACTTCAGCTCAGGTCATGGTCTCATGGTTCGTGAGTTCAAGCCCTGCATGTCGGGCTCTGTGCTGACAGTTCAGAGCTGGAGCCTGCTTCAGATTCTGTATTTTTAAAATGTGGCTTAATAGTCATTATTTGAAATCCACTGTTGTATGTTGTAAAGACCCTGAAATACTATTCCTATAGCATGACCAGCACCTATCAATAAATAACTGATGAGTGAATTAAATAAATATTTAATGACTGCAACGTTCTAGGCACTGTGCTAAGGAATTAAAAACGCAAAGAGGGGTGCCTGGGTGGCTTAGTCAGTTGAGTGTCCAACTTCGGCTCAGGTCATGATCTGGCAGTTCGTGAGTTCCAGCCCTGTGTGGGGCTCTGTGCTGACAGCTCAGAGCCTGCAGCCTGCTTCAGATTCTGTCTCTCCGTCTCTGTTTCTCTGTCCCTTACCCACTCGTGCTCTTGCTATCTCTCTCAAAAATAAATATTTAAAAAGTACATAAATAAAAACAAAATCATATTCTGCTTTTAGCTTGATTTTAATTTCAATCAGGAAAGTTATGAGATTAAAAAACAATAGTATCATATAATTTGAGGAGTGAGATGTGGTCAGAGTGGGCTGGACATGAGCATAATTTTTTATTATTGTTGTTTTTAAGTTCTTTGGCTGATTATATTCTAGAGTCAGGTTTAAAAACAACTGTTTTAGAAGACTGAAGAGTTGAACCTTTATCCTTTGCTTCAGAAGAGCCCATTTGCTTTCCCTTTTGCAGTAATTTTCCTGTGGTAGTCTCACAAAACATAGCAGTGGTAAAAAAAAGATTAAACAAACATGTAAGGGAAAGAACATCCAATAAGGCACCCTCAAATAAATGGGTAAACTTTGTATATTCTTCTGATGAGAGTTTTCTTTTTTCCTGAATTTTTGTTTTAAATACTTTGGAGAGAGAAGGGATTGCAGAGGAAATAGCAGTAAAATCCATTATTGCAGTCATAATAGACACAAAGGGAGCAGGAACTGCAGGAAGATATAGAGATAAATAGTCACTGTCTCACCACCAGATGCTTAATTTGTGTCTACCTCAAAGATTTCTCTTGAATTCATTTCTTGCCATACCATTCCCCGCCATTAACTATACTGGACCACTGCTGTAGCCTTCAAACCAGTTTCCCCGGGCATCATTATCTCTACAACAGAAGTAG